GAAGTAATTGTTGAAGAAGTTCAATGTCAGGAGTAAAAACTAGGCCAGGTGCTGACTGTGAAATAGACCATCAGCTACTCATATGCAAATTCAGCTGTGATTAGTTTTATAAAACATAATGAATGGGAATGATTGTATGAAACAAATGTGAATGAAGGATAGTGTGAAACACAATGTCTATGAACTTAATAAGCAAATAAGTAGAAAACAAAAATTAAAAAAAAAAATAACCAGAAAAGTTATGATGCACCAACACAGTAAAATACTTTTTGCCATAAAAGATGAGATGCATAATAGTCCACTGTGTAAGCAATTTCTCAATCCATGGTGGAATACTGTGCAGCACCAAGGAGCAAAGACTTTGTAAAATACCTAGTTTTCAAGCTTACATTGAGCTATCCATTAATTCCACAGATGTAATCACTCTGATTCCTGTGTAAATACATCAAGTAAGGTCCATGTGTATAATTGCCATCTGTGGTGTTTTTTTTTAAATAAAAGGTGTTTGCAATGAAAAAAAAAGACTATAGAACATAGGAGAGTATAGAGAGCATTATGCTGAATGAATTGACTCAGTCTCATAAGGATAAATATTGCACAATACCATTATTGTGAAAAGAAGAATAACTAGTAAGATGTATTTAAAAAGTCCAAAGGGGGAAAAGGTAGGGGTCAAGAGGGTGGAAAATGAGGAGAGGGTCAAATCCCTAGGAAAGCTGCATTCAGTACGTAGATGGGTGGGGAAGGGACAGCGTGAAGGAATGAGAAAAGTTCAATTTGGACCTGAAAAGACTGGGTAACAGTAGGCATAGGTCAATGGTGATAACTTTTATAAAACACAGTGTATATAAACAATTGTATGAAATACAATGTGAATGAAGAAAAATATGAAGCCCCCAAAAAGATGAGTTGCAGGCAAAAATGTTTATTATATATTTTATATAAACATTTAAGAAAAATTATACATGTGTATGTGTATGTACAAATATATATGTACACAGAAAAAAGAAGTTCATAAACATAGATGCTGTTGTTAGGTGTTGCTGAGTTAACTAAGACTCAAGTGACTTTGTGAACAACTGATCAAAATGTGTGCTATTCTCAAGATCTCCCCCATACTCAAACTCATTGCCACATTCACTGTGTCAGTCCATCTCCTTGAGAGTCTTCTACTCCTTCAGTATCTCTCTACTTCTCCAAGCACTGGACCTCCTGATAACATGCTAAAGTATGTAAGGCAATGCTTCACCATCCTTGTCTCTAAGGAGCATTCTGGTTGCACTTTTTAACTTATGTAAAGGGAAAGATAATCTACAATAAAGAGGAGTTCAGCACTAATGATCAAGATAAAGGAAGACATTGTTTCCTTTACCTCTGTCTTCTTGCCAAAGAGTAAACATCATTGCTCACTGAATCTTTAATCTACAAAGGATACATAGATAGACATGCAGGATAGCCAAGAATGGGGCACCACATGGGAGAAAACCACTAAAACCAAAGATGAAGAATATGAGGATGTCTATCATCTTCTGCAGTCTGAAATGGCAATGATCAAATGTACATTCAAGACACCTAAACAAGGGAGCTCTGGTGGCCTAGTTGCAAGAAGCTACACTGCAATCCCAAAAGTGTGTGGTTTGAATCCACCAGATGCTCCGCTGGAGAAGGAGGGGCAATCTCCTCCTGTGCCAATCATATTCAATGGCACACAAGTTAAAAAAAAAAGATACATTCATAATAGCCAGTGATTGTGGAAAAGTGGGATTTGGAACATAAGACTGTAGTGATAGAAACAAGGTGGGAGATTGCACAATGGAGTTTTGTAAAATCAACAACTTATTCATTGCAAAGATCTTTAAAAAAAACAGTTGAAACAGATTTTTTAACCCCAGTGTCAAGAAAAACTTCATTTAGAAAAGATTTGGGAGAGAACTCTGGTCTTGGGAAACTTTTTACAACTGCAATGGATTCTTTAGATGAAGAGGAAAAGGATTATTATTTTTCTGACTGTGAATAATGAAAATGAGAAAATATACTTTGTAGAATTTCTAGTATAACCAGCACATCTATGTACTTCTCTTGGTGTATATGCATTTCCTTTATCTATAATAGCTTCTTATTGAAAATTTGGACTCCTTTTCAAAGACTTCTAGTTTTTGTATTCAAATCAGAATTTCCCTGAAAAATAAAATATTTTTCACTGTCTCATCTTAAAATGTAAAAGAGATTGTTTTGTTTATATGGCTGTTTGTAAATTGTTTTGTGATATTAAAATTTATTTAGATAAGTCTTAAAAAAAACAAAAAAAACCCCAAAAAAACAAAAACCAACACCACATAAATGGCAACTATATACATGGACCTAGCCTGATTATATAAGTTGTTGTTTGAAAGTGCCATCGAGTCGTAGATGACTCATAGCGACCCCATGAATGAAAGACCTGAACACTTGTATAACTTTTATCATTTCTCTAAGTTGACAGAGTTTCCGGAGGTAAGCTATTTCGGAAGTGGATGCCACTCCTGCTTCTAGGCCTGTTTTAATCTGAAAACTCCAACAAACAGTGTCCACCATGAGTAACCTTTATCGCATTTGACACATCAGTGTCACAGTGCTCAGCTTCACAGTAACCACAAGTTACCTCTATACAGCAAATGGACAGACAAGTGCTATACCACCTGGAAGAATGTATGACAAAAAACAATTAAAATCAGGCCTGAAGGCCATAGATTAAAGTCACCCACCTTTAGCTTGGTAGATAGAGTCAAATTAACTATAGCTGTGGAGAAAAATGGTGGAAAAGCCACCATCAGCCAGAAGTTCAATGACTGATTATATAAAATACCACTAATTGTTCATATACAAATTAGAACTGAAGCTGAAGAAAATTAAAATAAGTAAAAATATGATCTTAATTATATCCCAATTGAATTCAGAGACCATGTCAAGAATAGATTCAATGCACTGAACACTAATGACCAAATGCATTGGAGAATACATCAAGAACTTACTAGATGAAGAAAGCAAAAGGTAATTAAAAAGGCAGGAAAGAAAAGACTAAAATAGATGTCGGAGGAAACTCTGAAACTACTCCTGAACACAGAGAAGCTAAACTGAAAGAATGAGTGAAGTAAGAGAGCTGAATGGATCTCAAAGTGCAAATAATCATTATAATAAGATGTACAAAGACCTGGTGTTAAAAAAACTAAAGAGAAGAATACACTCAGCATTTCTTAAGCTGTAAAAGTTGAAGAACAAATTCATGTGCCTTGAGTTGCAATACTGAAGAATTCCATGGGCAAACTTTAATGATGCAGGAAGTATCAAAAGAAGATAAAAGGAATACAAAGAATCAATGGACAAAAAAAGATTTGGTCAACACTGATCCATTTAAGGAAGTAGCATCTGATCAAGAACCCATCATATTGAAGGAAGTCCAGGCTATACTGAAGGTATTTGCAAAAATAAGGCTCCAGGAACTGATGGAATACCAGGTGTGTTGTTTCAATAAGCAGATGGAACACTGGATATACTCATTCATCTACACCAAAAAATTTAGGAGACAGCTACTATGCCAGTTGACTGGAAGAGATTCATATTTGTTCCCATTCCCCAAAAAAGGTAAGCCAGTATAATGTGGAAATTGCAGAACAAAAACATTATTATTGCATGAAAGAAAAATCTTACTTGATGTTACATGCTGTCAAGTGAATTAAGACTCCTAGCAAGCCTATAAATAACTAATACACTCAAGCCCATTGCTGCAGTCACTGTCTTACCCTACAAAAAAATCTTATTGAAGATTATTAAAAAATACCTGAGGCAGTATATTGACAGAGGAGTGCCAGGACTTTAAGCTGGATACAAAAGAAGCTTTAGGACAAGGCATGTTGTTGTTAATGTCAAAGAGATCTTGGCTGAAAGCAGAGAGTACCAGAAAGATGTCAAAGGCATTCCATTGAGTGGATCATAATAAATTACGGAGAACATCGAGAAGAGTAAGAATTCCCAAACGCTTAATTGCACTCATGTGCTTTATAGGGAAGTTAACAGGTTATAGTGTGGGATCAGTATCAATATGGAAATAAATGGATACAAATTAAGAAAGTCAACAGCATCAACCAGACTAGCTTCCAACCAGAACAACTCTCAAAATACATAAAACAACGATTAACAGAATTGAAGAAATAGATAGCACCACGACAGTGGTGAGAGACTTGAACACACCACTCTCACCAAAAGATACTTAAGGATACAAAAGAACTTAACAAGGAGCTCCTTCTTAGCTCCTACTGATGATCCTTTTGTTGGCCGTGCCTGCAAGTCAAACTTTGCTCCAATCTGATGCCAGGTCTTCTCTCAGCCTCTGCCCTCCTCAGGCAAGGGTTACAGTCCTTCAGGAGGCAGGCTAGAGGCTTCCCCTTCAGCAAATGCGCTGCCTCAAGGTACTCAGCTCTCTTGCTCCCTGGATGAGCAAGACCACTACAGCATTGAGCCCATCTCCTGGCCCCTTTCACCTGGTCAGGTGCCACTGTTTCTCTGCCACTCACAAAGCTGCTATTAGGATGCTGTACTGTTTCAGTGTCCAGTGTCTTCTAGCTCACTCTTGCTCTCTCCCCACCTTTTCTATATCCAGGAGGTTCTCAGAGAAGAAATTCCAGGTCCAAAGGATGGACTCTGCTCCCAGTTCCTCTTCATGATGGTGGGAGGTCTCCCTCAACTCTGCAACTGGCCCTATGATAGCCTACTTCTTGTTGATTTCAAGGCATGGTCTTCCCCGTGGACCACAAACTGACCAATCCCTTCCGAACAACATGTGGATCAGGTAAATGCCAGAGACACATGTGTATGCCCCGTGCACACCAGAGTAGGGAATGTGGTCAGGTAAATGCCAGAGACACATGTGTATGCTCCGTGACCATCAGAGCAGGGAATGTGGTCAGGTAAATGCCAGAGACACATGTGTACACCCATGCCCATCAGAGCAAGAAGTGACTTACACTGTATGGCTCGGAGTCGAGGGATTATAGTCGGGCTGCTTGGCGGGCTGGAGCTGTTACTGTGCAAACTTCTTCGTTTTTCCAAGTTGGGCGAAGCCTGCACAGTGATTTTATGCTGAAAATCTGTTTGACAAGAAAGAAAAATAAGAATTGAAATTTCATGCTTTCAAGATTTTTATCATGCCTATATGCCTTTCTACTCAAACTCATTGCCTTAGAGTTGGAATGGAATCATGATTGACTCTCCAACAAGTTTTCAGAGATTGTAAATTGCAGAGGAAGAAACTGCCCATCCTTCCCCCTTGGAGACGCTAATGGATTCGAACCACCTGTCTTTGAGTTAGCAGTGCAACTTCCTATAGACTATGCCCCCAGAGATCCCTACAGTAATAAAAATAAAAATGCAAGATAGTAAATATAAAGTATATTTTAAAGTAAGGCATCAAGTTGGTTTGTTCTGATTCAAGTTCTTCCTTGAACTCTAGATATATGGAATCTAGAGTTGCACTCCAGAGAGGTGGAATCAGAATTCACCTTTAAGCAGGATTCCCTGGGTAATAGATCGGTGCACAGAACACCACAGGAGAATCACCTGGAGAGCTGGGAGAGTCACCTGGGGTTTGTTAAAACGTAGACTCTGACTCAGTGGATCTGGGATGGGATGGAATTTTAATGAAGCTGTTTGAAGCCCAGGTTTCTATCTTTAGATATCTTCACCTCAAATCTCAAGTGTAAAAAAGGAATGATTCAGAGTTCATAATATGTTAAATACAGCAAAGGGAGGGGGAGAGAGAGAGAGGAAGAGAGTGGGAAGAGAGAAAAGCACACAAATAAAACATTACTGCATTCCCAGTAGACCTCCAGCATCCTGAAACAGGAGGTCCTGGACAGACAGAAGCCCTGGTTCAGTTACTAACAAAGCACATCCCTCAATCAGTGAAGCACACATCTGAGCCTCTATCCTCACATTGTTGTGGTGACTACAATAATATGGATTAAAAGCATTGTGTGGTCTCTGCGAATGAGTTATACATATACAAGTACAATGTAAGTACTTCACAAATGAGTTACAAATGCCTATGTAGAGCTGTTGTTGTTGTGAAGTGCCAGTGAGTCGAGTATGACCCACAGTGACCCTATGAACTGTAGATCTGAACCCTGTCCTGTGCCAGCCTCACAATCTCTGACACACTCAAGCCCATTGCTGCAGTCACCGTGTCAATCCACCTGGTTGAGGGTCTTCCTATCCTTCGCCGTCTATGTGCTTGGGGAGCCCTGGTGGCCTCACGGTAGGAGTTGTGTTGCCAACTCAAAGGCAGGCAGTTTGAATCCTCCAGCAGCTCTTAGGAAGAAAGATGAGCAGCCTCCTCCTGTACAACTTTGTCTCTGAAAACCCGCTGGAGGGTCTGCTATGAATTGGTTCCAAGTCAACAGCAACGAGTGAGTGAGTGATCTGGAGCAAGCCACCCTGTCTCTGTCACTTCAGCATGCTGTGATACTTGAGTGTCACTCTGATACTGAAATTTCAAACATCAGCAGGTCATCCAGAGTGCACAGTTTTCAGTGGTGCTTCCAGGCTAAAATATGCAGGTTTGTAACCTATTTCCTAGAGCTTTTCAATGAGATCAGCAGGACAGTGTGTGGCTTGGCCGGGCTGGGCATGCTATCGGAAAGACTCACTGTTGGTGAAGCAGAGGGTCAACAAGACTCCTGGGGAAGGAAACTGTACAGTGGCCCCCTAGATGGCTTCAATTAGCCGGCAGCTGTGAGGATGACACAGTGGACTCTACTTGCCACCAGCTGGAGGGGGCTGACAGCAATTATTGGTATCAATCAATTACAGCTAGAAGCCAGGACAGTAAAATTTCATCTTGCATACTTTGGGCATGTTGTCAGAAGGAGCCAGTACTTGGAAAAGGACATCATGCTGGGAAAGATGGAGGGTCAGAGAAAGAGAGGAAGACCCTCAACGAGATAGATTGACAGTGACTGTAACACTGGACTCAAGCATGATGGAGTTGGTGAGGATGGTACAGGACGAGGAGGGTTCAAAACTGTTGTTCACAGCATTGCTTTGAGTTGTAGTTGACTCAACCGTACCTCACAACAACCATGTAGTGGTAGTATATGGTAGTTTTCAGAGAATAAATATGCCTAGAACAAGAGGACTAAATGGAAGAAAGAGAATTATGAGAGGTTAGGGAAGAGTGTCTAGGGATACTTGTTAAACTGTCAGTAAAATTACTTGAAACTCGAAGAGGCAAAAGAAATCCCTGGATGTTCTCTCAGTGGAGTGCTAAGATTAATATGCTTGCTTTTCTACAGACTGGGCTATTTTTAGAGCCATCAGGGGCAGAAGTTGGTGTAGATACTATCTAGTGAAGATGCAAACAATTTATCTTTTGGAAAAGCTAATCTTAGTTAGAGCTTACAGTTTGTTGTCCTAGTGGGCATTAACTAGGTTTGTACTGAACCCAGTAATCTAACAGTAGCATTTCTTTACTAAGCTGTCCATATTGTATAAGTATATTGCTTCATAAAAGATCATTTTGATAGGTTTCAAGACTACTTCATTAATGAATATGAATTATTAATTCATTAGTTAATAATAATGAATGAACAGTGGTTCATTCTGTATCTGCAAAGAAGCTGTATCTGAACTTTTTGAAAATTATTGTATAAAAATCCACCTGTTATTTGAGAAAAGGGCGTTAGAATTTGGAAAAGGAGTTGGAATGTGGTACGGAAAGCCATCTATGCAAATATTCATAACTGGAAATGTTTTCTCAATATCATCTTTTTCCTGACCCTCCATATCCAGTCCTACATAAGTTCTGTTGGTTTTCTCAGAGTTATAGTTGTTGTTGTTGATTACCTTGGAATCAAGCACAACTCATAGCGGCCCTATGAACAAAAGGCCTGAAGCCCCCTACAACCATTGACATTTATCAAAGTTCACAGAGTTTCTGGAGGCATGTTGTTTAGGAAATGGATGCCACTCCTGCTTCCAGACCTATCATTGTATGTTATTGTTGTTATGTGCCAGTGAGTTATCTGATTTGTATAGTGACCCTATTTACAGCAGCTCTGAACCCTTCCCTGTCCTGAGCCAGACTCACTAATTCTGACACACCAACCTGCACTGCCCCAGTTACTGTATCAATCCATCTCAACTGAGGTCTTCCTCTCCTGCACTGTCTGTCCACCCTTGCGAGCATGATGTCCTTCTCCAAGAACTGGTCTCTCCTAGCCACAAGCCCAAAGTAAGTGAGGTGGAGCTTCAAAATCCTAGCCTTCAAGGACAGTCTTGGTTTCACCCTCTCCAAGACAGACTGATTGTTTTCTTGTCAGTCCATGGTAAGTTCAACACTCTTCTCCAGCACCAAAACTTGAAGGCAGATTTATAGTACAGGATTTTTAAAATTGTACTTTGAAAGTATGCAGAGCAATTAGTTTTTCCATTCAGTCACTGGTACAAATTTTGGGTTGAGGCATTAATTACATGGTCTTCACAATCACTTGTTATGCATCGGAGAGTTGGACAATGACCAAAGAGGATAGAAGGAGAATTGATGCCTTTGAGCTGTGGTGCTGGAGAAGAGTATTGACAATACCATGGACTGCTAGGAAAACGAATTTGTCCTGGAAAGGGTTAAACCGGGTGGCTCCTTGGAGGCAAGGATTCTGAGGCTCCGTCTAACATACTTTGGCATGTTGTGAGGAGAGACCAGTCCTTGGAGATGGACATCATGCTTGGGAGGGTGGAGGGACGGCACAGGAGGGGAAGGCCCTCTATGAGGTGGATTGATTCAGTGACTGGGATAATCGGGATGGGAGTGTCAGAGACAGTGCGATTGGCACAGGACAGAGCAGAGTTTAGCGCTGTTGTACATAGGGTCGCTGAGTCGCAAGCGACTTGATGGCACATAACAACAATATTGTAATAGCACTCCCCCAACTTCCTCCCTGTGATTCTAATTCCCCTTCAGCCTTCTATACAAGAGAAATGTCTTTTCCTAGCTCAAGAGTTAGCAACTTTGAGTTTGAATATGTTGCCAGTTTGGGGAAAGAAATTTAATCTCTTTAAGACTCAGAATCTTTATTTATTAGTACAGGGTAAACAATTACTATTCCTGAATGGGGTTGCTATAAAAATTTAATATGAAATATACAAAGCAGTTAGTATAGGGCTCAGTCCATAAAAAATGCTCAGTTAGTACTATTCTTTTTATTCTCTTCACCTTGACTGCCAGTACCATTCACATGTTGTATCTGACTCCTTGTACCCAGTCTTCCTACATTTACTTTTGGCCCTTCTAGTCAATGTCCATGGAGCTCTGGTGGACCCATGGGTAGACAGTTGTGCTGCCAAACAAAAGGCATGTGGTTCAAATCCACCAACTGCTCTTCGGGATAAAGATGGACAATCTCCTCCTGTCCGATTTATTGCCTCTAAAAATCTGTAGAAGGTTGACTATGAGTTGATTCCAACCAGGGCACATATAAGTCTAACTCATGCCAATCTTTTTTTTCAATTCCTGGAAGAAAACAGGCTTTCTGTATGTGGCGTTTTAGGCCTGTTCACTCCCCTCCCTTACTTCTCTGGCAAATTCTTACTTCAGGTCTCAATTTCATAACTTTTTTGAGAATCTTTAAAGTAATTGTTGTTGTTGTTATTAGATGCTGTTGAGTCGACCATGAATCCTGATAAGTGCAAACCTTAAGAGGTAGAGCCTCTGAGTCAGTCCATCTCATTGAGGATCTTCCTCTCTTTCTCTGACCTTTCCTGGCATGATGTCCTTTTCCAAGGACCGTCTCTTTCTGACAACATGCCCAGGGTCTGTGAGATGATGTGAGCAGGAGCATCCTTCCCTCCAAGGAGCACCCTGGCTGCACCTTCTTCTCCAAGACAGCAATTAGTTTGTTCTCTTGGCTGATCATGGGATATTCAGTACTCTCCTCCAGCACAATGGCTCAAAGGCATCGACAACTCTTTCATCATCCTAAGGCATTATCCAACTTGCACTGCAAGTAACTGAAAAGACCCTGGCTTGAATCAAGCACACTTTAATCTTTAAGCAGACATTGCTGTACTTCAACACCTTCAAGAGGTCAATTTCCCCAATGTAACAGGTATTTTGATTTTTTGAGTGCTGCTGCCAACAGTGTTGATTGTAGATCCAAGCAAGATGAAATCTGGGGCAATTTCAGTCTTCTCTTCATCTATCATGATGCTGCCTATTGGCTGGCCCAGTTCTTGCTTTCTGGATACTGAGTTGTCATCTAGTTACATAGATGGAAAAATCCTAACAAAGGAATTCAAGTTATTTGGTGGGACAACTCCTTAAAAGTCAAGCACTGCTCTATCTGATATCCGTCAGATGCTTTCTTAATAAAACACAAGGAAAGCTCACTGCCATTGAATTGGGACCAACTCTTAGCTGGCCCTCCAGCATGTCTTCAGAGGCTATAAATTATACGAGAGGAGACTGCCCATCTTTCTCCCTTGGAGCAGCTGCTGGATTCGAGCTCCTAAAGAGCGAAATTCTTTGTGGACTCCACTACCACAACCCCGTAGAAGCTCCCTTCTTTCATAAACTCAAATCTTCTTGAAAGGTGTTCTTAACAGTGTACTATTAAGCAGTACTAAAATTTGACAATATAGATAACTTCCTAGCAGATAATGATAGAGGCCTCCAGTAAGATTCCTGAAGGAGAAAAAGAATTACTTTCATAAGTTACCATTTTTTATAGTTATCCTGAATCTGGGTGATGAGTGGGAAAATGAGTTTCTATATTGTGATCAGTATGGCAATTTATTGCCATCTAGTGGACAAACGCAGTAACTGTAATGCTAAATTCCAAAACCCAACTTTATGTCCTTCATGATGGATTAAGACGTTCTGGTTAGATTTTCACTGGAATTTAAACTGCCAAAAGGTGAAAAATGTGGAACTAAATTGCCCCTTTTATTCTCCAAGAGGAAATCCAAGTAGTACAAGCCAGCAATAAAAGAAATCTGGCAAAAATAATAAAAAATATTCAATCAGCCTTGAATAAAGTCAACTTTTAATGAAAACAAGGAGCACTGGAGGGGGCTCTGGCGCCCTAGGAGGTAAGAAGTTGTGTTGCCAACCCAAAGGCAGTGAGTTTGAATCCACCACTGGCTCTGAGTGGCAAAGGTGGGCAATCTCCTCTGTGCGACTGACAGCCTCTGAAACCCCTCTAGAGGGTCGGCTCTGACTCCGTTCTGGCTGCTCTGCAAAAAGTGAGTTGAGAAGGAAAACTGGAGAAGAAAGGCAAGCCTGCACATGCGAATCTGCAAGATTTTTCACTTAATAACTCTACCCATGAAAACTAAAGAGTCAGTAGACTGTACGACAACAACCCATAATAAGAGGTTTATCATTGCAAAGAGGACTGGGGAGGGTGGAGAGGGAAGGAGGTAATTGTGCAACAATGAATAAATATTAAAAAATAAAAAAGTGAAATGGTGGTGGGGATAAAATGTACAACAACGAACGAATGAAAATCTAACTTCTCTGTAAACACTCGTTAAAACTACAATTAAAATGAAATTTTATTTAAAAACAAAGAGTCGCTGGAATGAATGATGAATTTAATTATTTTCTTTCTCTCTTTTCCATCCATTTCTTGTCACTCCCTTCCCAGCTTCCCAAGGGAAACCGTGAAGGAGCCTGGCATTGCTAAGACATCGACAGAGGAAGAGAGCGAGTATAATTGAGATCTGAAGACATTCAATTCTTGTGACTGAATTTTTCTATCTTATGGAGTTATAAGTATATGCCTCATCATAAATATTTTTTTTATTATGGCTGAGAATGCAGTAAGTAGGCCTTCATGTTATACTTCAAGTGTTTCAAAAGAGAAATTGATTTTCAGAAGGATTGAAGGCATATTCATTAAGGATCGATAGCTTTTTTCAACCAAGCAAACTGAATAATGTGTACCAGCTCTGGTGTGAAGCTAGGTAGCCCCTCGGAAGCAAGGATTTTGAAGCTACATCTCATTCACATACTTTGGGCATATTGTCAGAAAGGGCCAGTCTGTGGAGAAGGATCATACTTAGATGGGTGGAAGGGCAGCGCAGGAGAGGGAGACCCTGGAGGAGATGGATTGACACAGTGACTGTGGCAATGGGGTCAGGTGTGTCAGAGATGGTGATGTTGGCTCAGGATAGGGTAGGGTTCAGAGCCATGGTTCATAGGGTTGCTATGAGTTGTAGTCGACTCAACAGCACATCACAGCTCTCATCATGATGGGAAAAGAGGAAGATTCTCAACAAGAAGGATTGGCATGGTGACTATAACAATGGACTTGAACATATCAGAAATGATAAGGAAGATGCAGGACAGATTCAAATCCGTGGTTCATAAGGTTACAATGAGTTCTAGCCAACCAGATGGCACCTAACAAGAGCAAGGTTAAGAACACAGGGTTCCTGAGTGATGCAGTTAACATGCTCACTATCAACTAACAGACGGGGACCAGAATCCATCCAAAAGTCCCTCAGAAGGCTGATCCACTTCTAAAGCCAGTCACCGAGGACCACTGTGACACACAAGGGTGTTCCACAAGTTGCTGTGGACTTGACAGAAATGGGTTATGAATGGGTCCTATTATGACTATAAACTGACGTAAATTCTGGATGACACTAATTCATTTAATGCCTTAAACTTAAAATGCCCCTTCTCCCCAGAGCTGGCGTGGCATACCTGAAAGTTGGGTCAGACCTAGCGGTGGGGTATGAATCCTACCTGAAGGTAAGCTGATGCAAGGTCCGTCTCTGAGCTTCAGGCGGCTTCTCTTGAACTTGCCCTTCCTCCTCTTCACAGTAGGCTGCTCCTGGCTCAGCTGGAAGATGATGATGTTCAGCTCCCGCTCCAGCACGTCGATCTCACGCTCGGCCAGCTGCTGCTCACGCCGCTTCAGCAGCTCTTCCTGGGACTTTTGCTGGATGGCGGCTCGGGTCAGCTCCTCCTCCCGGGACCACAGCTCCTGGGACAGAGACGTGGTCACTCTGGGGGGAAGGAGGACACCCCTGATGTGCAGTTGCTAAGATGCGACATCCACGCTTCTTTCAGCCAGTGGACATACACACACTGAGAAGCTACAATGCCCTTTCCACTGTTCAATCAGCCATCGGACCACTCAAATCTGCAGAGTTCCTTATATTTGAGAAAGACCTGGCTAAGACCTCAGATTAAACTCCCACAGCGCCACAGACTGTGCACTTCTCTCTTTAGTTCCTAGAAGACATCTCACAAATTCAGTCATGCTATGTGACACTTCTCCTTCTACCTCTAGGTACTTTTTTCTCTCGTTACTTTTCATTTATTCACTCATATACATTTTGTCTTATAACACTAGTTACAGTTAAGCTATGTCTTTCTTACATTTCATCAAACCCTCCCTGTACCTTGTCCTTCCCCTCACCCCATGGCATCCATCTGCTATCCTGTGTTCCCGTCTCGCTCTCCTCCCACCCATGCCAATCCTCCATGATTACTTCTGTGTGTAAACTGCTCCTCACCTTTATTTTCCCCAATCAACCATGCAGGTCCCATTCCAGATCGTTAACTGCATTACACACAATATCTGATTGTCCATTCATTTCGCCTATTCCAATAAAGTGTACATTATCTATCCACTACTTTCCTACTCTCCCCACTATGCCCTGTAACCATCCTATTTTTATAACAGTGGTCTCATACAGTATTTCTCCTTTTCGTTTCCTCTGGACTCACCCACATTGTGCAACATTTCACATATTCTTAACTGTTTTCAGTGCTCTATAATATTCCACGGCATGACTGTACAACAGTTTTCCTATCTGTTTGTTGACAGGCACTTGGGCTATTTTCATCTCTCTGTGATGAGCATGGGTGGGCATATATTTGTTTGTGTCACAGCTCTGATTTCTTTCGTGTGTATCGCCAGTAGTGGAATAGCTTTTATAATCACCTGACACATAAAAGATACATGAATACAAATCAATGAAGTCTAGATAGAGGTCAAGTAAAAGTAAAGCCACAAGTCAAAACCTGATTAATTCAAAGATAATTATTCTCAACACAAAAAAATTGCCATTGGTCTTTAAAAAAAAACAACAAAAACCAAAACAACTAAGGACTTCCTTAGGGTGTTAAGGTAAAAGTGCTTGGCTGCAACCCAAAATGTCTGTGGTTCTTGCTCATAATCTGCTCAACAGGATAAAGACGGCAGTCCTGGAAACACTATGGGCAGTTCCAGCTTGTTCTACAGGGTCAAGAGGAGTCCATGGGGAGTTGATAGCAAGGCATTTGGCTTTGGGGTGTAGGACTTTAAAACTCAAAAATTATTATTTTATTTCTGTGAATTGTCTGGGTTTTTGGCAGGCACATGAACATTCCTTTAACTTGTTTTATTCTCAATTACCCTGTTCATTATTAAATCAAGCACTGGCACAGAAATCAAGTCATCTGCAATTTTCATATACTGCACCAGGCAAATTCAATGTTAATCTCACACTACCCTAGTTCAGGTTTTGGGAGCGCTGGTGGCCTAGTGGTAAGGAGTTGTGCTGCCAAACTAAAGGCATGTGGTTTGAATCCACCAGTTCTTCCATGGTGGTAAGAAGGGCAATTTCCTTACATGTGATCTACGGCCTCTGAAAACCCACTGGAGGGTCTGCTATGAGTTAGTTCTGACTCCACAGCACATAACAGCAACAATTCAATCTTAATCTTATATTACTATGTAACATCTCTGTTAGGAACAGTTCCTGCCTCCTAAGATAAGGAAGAATGGTTATCAAAAATGGAGCTCTGAGCTTCACCCAAACATTCCTGCTTTGTATAAGTAGGCCAGGGAGCTCTGCTGGCCTCGTTCATAAGGAGTTGTGCTGCTAACTCAAATACCAAGCCCTCTTGTGGCTTGAATTCACCAGCATCTCCAAGAAGAAGGATGAAAAATCTCCTCTTTCATGATTTACAGCCTCCAAAAATCAAGCCACTGGAGGGTCAGCTATGTGTTGGTTCTGATGACAAGGAAAGAGACGGACTTGAAGATAGTGATCAAAGAAGAAAGCCTATGTCTTCTTGGAAGAGACAAACAAGTCAAACAAGGGACTAAACTGGTAATTCCAATCAACTAACCCCAGGACTTTTCCCAGAGAAACTCAAAGCCCATCTGCTGGCACACTGATCATGAAGAAAATGAACTGCAGAAGACCACCCTCCACAGATAAACACAACAATATCAAGACAGACCTGGGAGTCCTGAGAACAAAAACATTTACCAACTCAAGTCAAGCTAATTAGGAATGTATGACAATTATACCAAAGTGAACTGAAGCTTACCTTGAAAACATTCTTTGTCCCTCGAACAAAATTGTGGGAGGAATGATTTTCTAAAGAACTGATAGATAAATCACTTGTGCTAACACGCACTAGCTGATTATTCTGGATGTGTTATTTTTGTGTGGTATTGAGTCAGAATGGACCCATAGCTGACCCTCCAGGGGGTTTTCACAGGCTGCAAATTCCAAGAAGTAGCTGGTAGATGTGATCCTCACACCTTTGGGTCTGCAGCCCAACTCTTTACCTACTAAGCCACCAGAGCTACCCTGTGAGGTGATATTGTGCCTAAAATATTTGGTCGCCAGCCCCAAGGCTGCCATAAGAACCCCCCATGCCCTGTAAAAGAGAGACGTGGCAGACGGCATCCCTCCATAAAGACGGCCAGACTCGGGACAGGCCCTGGGCTGCTCTGCTCTGTCCATCCGTCACCATGAACTGGACTCATTTAGAAGTTGGATTCAGAGTCTTGTTGCTGAAGGAGACCAGTATTTCTCCATTACACTGTACTAGACAAACACTGATATTCATTATTTGGAACTTTAAACAACAAAAAAGAAACATGTTAGATATTTTTTTTAAAAAATTATTCTGTAAGTAATTTTTTAACTGGGGCCTTGCCCAGCCAGTTTGTCCAAGTAGCATTATTTCACTGTGCTATGCTATGTCAGGGGACAAAAAAACCTCACTGCCATGCAGTTAGACTGACCCTCCAGTCTTTTATTGGAAGGGGGCAAGGAAGGTACTTGTGCAACAGTAAACAGATATTTTTTTTAAAAGTGAACTAGGAGAGGAAGGGAGGTAAAATGTGCAACAATGAATGAATGAAAATCTAATGTTTCTGTAAACTTTTGTTAAAATAAAAATTAAAATAAAAAATGTTATTTAAAAAAATGAAGTCCAGGTCTTTAGCCAAAGTGGAAATCCTCATACTACAACTTTGTGAATAATAACAACTCACTGATGATTTTTTAAAAGGCTAAGATCAAAGATTAATGGAGCAAAAGCAATCTTCATCCTGAATAACCTCACATGCTCAAAAGGAAAAAGAAAACAAAACTGAATGGAATTAGACCCCTTTTGGAAACTTTGAAAATATGACGCTTACCAAAAAAATTCCTTCTAGTTGATGAGGTTACTGGCAGTGGTATTTGCTTAATTGCTTGGCACAGGACATTCTAGTAACGAAAATCCAGGTTCCTGGCAACAGATGGTAATCATTAACAGCAACCTGCCTTCCTACAGTGTTTCAAAGGCAGGTGTGTGCACAAGTATACAAAGACACACACACAGATAAGCAGCCAGGAATCTGGGGAGGAACCAGTCGCCACGGCGACCTCAGGCTCCTGAGGAATACAAACCACAGCCCAGCCGCTGCCCACTCACCCAGGCAGACAGGGGAGCAGGAAAGATAACACACGTCCTCTGTGCCCTGTGCCCATCAGAAGGGGCTGCAGAGAGAAACATGAGCCAAAATTGTACTGCACATTCCTCAACTATAAGATAAAAGGCTCCAAGGTAAAATAAATCCTGAACTGCAAAAAAAGGCCCAACACAAAAGTCAAGTCCTAAGAAAACAGCTAAGAGTTCAAAACCAGTGACAAAATAATGAAAAGTACTCACTTTAACAGCACATATACCAAAACTGGAAGGATACAGAGATTAGCATGACCCCCATGCAAGGATGACATGCAATTTCATGAAGTACTCCAAAATTTTTTACAACAGATGAGGGGCAGAAATGTCTGAAAGGAATATATGATTATGCATTATATGCATGGGAATAATCTGGAAGAAGGTGTGCATTGCAGGGTGGACTGAGGAAAGAAAAAAGAGGAGGGAGAAAAGGTACAACAATGAATTTTTAAAGAGTTTTTTTTAAAAAAAAAAAAGGAAAAAAGAATGAAGTAAGGACTATAGACTTCAGAAAGGGGAAAGTTTCAGTCATCAGTCTGGAAGCATGCTTTGAATGTATGCCACACCAAAGAATGGATTTATTGTCTATACCTATACCCTGCAGTTTCATGAATAATTCAAACTCAAAAAAGCCCTCAAACTCAACGCCACTGAGGCTGAACCGACTCATAGCTGGACGTCCAGTGGGTTTTCAGAGTCTGTAATCAAAGGCACAGAGTTCAAATTTACCAGTTGTTCCTTGGGAGAAAGACGGACAATTTCCTCTCTTGTGATTTACAGGCTAGGAAAGCCCACTGTGGGGTCAGCTATGAGCTTGTTTCCATTCGACAGTATAGAGCAATAACAACAACAAATCACAGGGCAGGAGACTGCCCCTCTCTCCCCTGCAGAGCAGGTGGTGGATTGGAACCCTAAGAAGGTCACCACGTTTAGGTTTATCAGTGCAGCTATATCAACTACACCAGCGCTCCCTCATGAAGAACTCTTGTGATTGTTAGGTGCTGTTGAGTAGAGTACGTCTCACCCTATGAACACACCAGAACTCTGTCCTATCCTGTGCCAACCTCACACCTCCTGACACACGTAAGCCCACTGCTGCAGTCACAGTGTCAATCCACCTGGTTGAGAGTCTTCCGCTCTTTCGCCGACCCTCAGCCTTTCCAAGCAGGATGTCCCTCTTCAAGGAATAGCGTCTCCTAGCAACATGCCCAAAGTATGTGAAATGGAACTTCACCATCCTTGCCTTAAAGGAGCACGTTGGCTCCACCTTCTCTAAGACATATCTGCTTGTCCTTTTGGTATTCCATGGGACAAGTCAGTAAATGAAATTAAGCTCAGAATAACATCTAGTCATGACGTACTGGTATCAGAACAGGATTCTATACAGCAGCTCAGAGCATGCTTATTCATGAATGTCCCGGCTATAGCACGTCACTCCCATTACTACATTTTCCTTTAAAGTCAGGCTGGATATGGGGTCTTCAGTGATAAGAGCAAATACAGAAGTCTAGTGATGAAGGACGGAGCACACTTAGGAAGTCATGATAGTGGCGAGCTATGGTGGCCTAGTGGCAAGAAGGTGTACTGCAATGCCAGAGGTGCACGGTTCAAATCCACCAGATGCTCTGCTGGAGAAGGAGGAACAATCTCCTCCTGTACCAGTCAGATCTGATTTGACGGCACACACACACAAAATAATAAAATGGGGGGAAAAAAGAAGTCATGATAGCAAGGTCATGAAAATGATTCAGATACATGGTAATGCCATGTTTCAGTGTCATCAATTAGAATAAATGCATGGACTATTGATTTAAAGGGAGCTCTGGTGGCCTAGTACTAAGCCGCTGTGCTACAGTCCCAAATGCATGCAGTTCAAATCCACCAGCTGCTCCATGGGAGAAGGATGGGCAATTTCCTCATCCAAGCTGCATCCTCTGGAAACCTGCTGGGGAGTCAACTATGAGCTAGTTCTGACTAGAGGGCACACAACAACTGAGTTCATTAAGTCAGTATCACCTATTTAAAACAATTCTACTTTGTTGTTGTTGTTATGTGCCTTCAAGTTGCCTGTGACTCATAGTGACCCTAGGAACAAAAACTCTTAAGTCTGCCCTGTCCTGAGCCAGTCTCACCAACTCCAACACATCTACCCTCATTGTCTGAGTTACTGTATCAATTCATCTCATTCAGGATCTTCCTCTCCTGCGCTGTCTAACCAGCCTTCTAAGCATGATGTCCCTTCTCCAAGGATCAGTCCTTCCTAGCCGTGTGCCTAAAGTATGTGAGACGTAGCTTCAAAATCCTAGCCTCCAAGGAAAAATTCAGTTTCACCCTCTCCAAGACAGACCTGTTTGTTTTCTTGGCAGTCCATGGTATGTTCAAGACTCTTCTCCAGCACCACAACTCAAAGGCATCTATTCATCTTCTGTCATCCTTAGTCACTGTTCACCTCTCTGAAGCATAGCAAGTAACTGCGAAGAACATGGCCTGGATCAGGTACATCTAAGCCTCTAGACTGACATCGTTGCTTCTCAGTACTCTGGAAAAGTCCCTGACAGCAGATTTTTCCCAGTGCAATTTGTCTTTTGATTTCCTGACTGATGATGCCAAGTTGTGTTGACTGTGGAGCCAAACAAGCTGTAACTGTTAACAACCTAGATCTCATCTCCATCTATTCTGGTGTTGCCAATTGGCCCAGTGGCGAGAATCTCTGTCTTCTTGATGTTGAGCTTCAATCCATATTGAAGATGACAGTCCTTGACCTTCTGCAGCAAGAGCTTCTGATATAAAGATTGCACATCTTTTCAAGGTATTAATTTGCATGTTGTAAATGTCAGTTGCGTACTGATTACTTGGAATACTAGCCCTTATTGTACATTCAACATAAGAATTTAACCCACTGAACATTTGTCATTGTTGTTGTGTACCATCAAGTCTGACCCACTCTTAGCTGACCCTCCTATGTGTTTTCTGAGGCTATAAACGGCCCAGGAGGAGACGCCCATATTTCTCCTATGGAGCAGCTGGTGGGTTTGAACTGCCTGTCTTTGAACTGGCAGCTCAGCAAAGACTAAACGTTGGTCCTACAACTGTAGTACAGAACCAGGCCTTGAATTCAGAGTTCTCTGACGCCCATTAAGTCATTTATCAATCATCAGCATCTTCATTTATTCAAGAAGAGAGCCCGCCAACTGAACTAACTTTCTAATTCGTTTCCCTTTGAGGGACAAGCCTTTCCATTTCTCTAACTCACCACGTTCATGCTAGCGTTAACTGCAGCCTTGGTAGACTGAACAGAGGATCTAGCATAGGCTGTGTGGCTGAGTCACTTCCACCTCATGGTGGCCCTGTGTGGGTCGGGGTAGAGCTGTGCTCTCTATGGTCCCACGGCGCTGTTTTCACATGGGGATCATCAGGCCTTTTTTCTGAGGTATCTCTCCATGGATTTGAACTTCCAATCTTTTTATGAGTAGCTGAGTGCATTAACCATTTGTGCCACACAGGGACTCCTTAAACACATAGGGTTTGGCATTTTTTGTCTTCTTAACTCTTCATATCTGAATACAATAGAATTATATCTAAAAGAATGACTGTTCATTTTCAAGATAATAATAACAAAAATGTTCTTTTTTTTTAACCTGTAGTAATTGAAGAAGCATATTATTTATGAGTAAAATGGCCTGAATCTAGGATCTGAAATAAAATAGTCCAGTTAAAAAAACCAATAAAAATTATGGGGAAGAAAGGTGAAGAAAAATGGCAAAATTCTGATAATTTTTATGTTGGTGAATGCAAAAAAGGATTATTATACTAATCTCTTTCCTTTATTTGTCATTTGGAAATTCCTCTAAAAAATGAAAAGGTTTTTCCTCCCCTGTTTTATGTTTTGAGTATAGTTTGCTTGCTCCTGGAACGTGAAAGCAAAGAATAATCATCACTGATGTCCGAAAGTATTTTAGAATGGGGCTAAAAGTGGCCTTTGGGTTATATTGTTTATAATCTCCATAAATGTTAATAATTATACTGGTAGCTGAGTAGTAAGAAGATGAATTGCAATCCCAAAGGCTCAGAGTTTGAATCCACCAGTTATGCTACCAACTATGGGGGAAAGATGGGCTATCTCCTCCTGTGTGATTTATTGCTTCTGAAACTGATGGAAGGGTCAGCTACAGGCCAGCTCCAATTTGACGGCATACAACAACAGCTATATATGTAAGCTTATATATATGTATAGAAAACTATGACTGTATATCCATATAGATAATAAAGTACAGTAGGGGTACATTGTTAGAACCAAACACCTTAAGGGATTGAACTTGTGGTATTGAAGGAGCAGGATGATAGTCTTATGGGATATCTCAGTTAGCATAATAGAACTCATAAAGTTAGAGCCTACATACTAGTTTGGTAAGTGTTGCTTGGGATCTTAAAAGTGGTTCAGTGGCCTTTTAAGACACAACTATCAATCTCTATTCTACTGGAGTGAAAGAGCAAGAACAAAACCAGAGTTAAAGAAGACATTAATCTACAGGGATGACAAATTACATGATCCACAGCCTCATCTACCCAGAGACCAGAAAAACTAGACAGACCCCAGCTCCCACTACATAGCATTCTGACAAGATTTATTGAACTGCTTGAGACTGAAGCCTGGAGTTGTTGATAAATTAACTTCTGAGGCAATCCTGCAAATTAAATAATAACTTGGCTCAAAAAGTAGTATCACCTGAAAGGATTGTGTTTCTTTAAAAAAAAAGAATTCAAATGGCCAACAATTACTTTGAAGTTGAGAATATGAAGAGGTAGGGAAACTAGATTAATGGAAATGCAACAACCAGAAGGCAAATAATGGAAATGTTCACACAACTGTAAAAAAGTGTAACCACTATGACCAGACAACTTGTGTATAAATTGTCAAATAGGATCTTACAATGCTGTGTAACAGTTCACCAAAAACACAATCAAATATCTCACATACACCCTCACCTTTTCCTTCGTTCTCAACTCATCAAACATTTGTTGAATTTCCAGTTTCCAGTCATCTTGCATGGAATGAAAAGATTCCTGAGGCATGTCAGTCATAATGGCCCCTTCAATAGCAGTTAATTGTTCAAGAATTAAGGCAAATGATGGGCGTATATGAGGGTCTTGTTCCCAGCATTCTACAATAGATAAGAACCACATTAATTCCATATCTCAGAATAATTTAAATAATCTCCAAGTTAGCTGAGTTTCTAAGAAATGTTTTCTACCAAAATCTTTTTCAATATAATTCCTATCCTTTTTTTATTATTATTAAATTTTAATAGTTTTAATGAACATTTACAGAGATTTCATTCATTCATTCATTCATTGTTGCACTGTCATAGACATTTTCTTTCATCACATTTCTTACAATTGTATAATTAATAACAATTTCTTACAATTGTATAATATAATAACAATGTCTAATCAAACTGTTATTTTATGTATGTTACCTTTCCCTTCACACAACTTATCTATTTATTTTTTTCCTTCTTTGTCCCTCTCTTCTGATCTTTGTTAATGCTCCAATACTAATTCTAACATAGCTTTTTACATTAGTGATTTTGCACACCAGTTGCTCCTTGAAAAAAAGATGGGTAATCCATACCTGTGAAATATATGGTATTTGAAACCAAGTAGAAGAATGGCTATGATTCAATCCCAAGTTGATAGCAATGAGAGAAAGATACTATGAGTCTTTCCGTAAATGACTGAGGTCTTTCAGAATTTTCTAGATTCAACCTTGTTCCGTCTATGTTGTGTAATTTTTAATGAATTATTTATCATTCTTTAGGCTTTATTCTACTCCATGTATGAATGTACCAGTTTCTTTAGCCATGTATTCCTTGGTTAATAGTTATTTCCTAATCTTTGTTATTGTAAATAAGCCTGTAATATGTTTGTGAGAATATCAGTTTTTATTTGTTTGGCATACTGTAAAAAGAGCAAGGGCCATGTAGAAAGCACCATATCTGATATTTATCAACTTCACACAGGGAAACTATCCCTGTCCACAAAATCAATAAGACAAAACCAATTCCCATGAGGTCAAACATTCCCCCATGCTCCCATACCTCATTCTACTCATCTCAACACTAATCTTACTACCTTGGTGGGTCCAAAATCCAATGTGATAGCTCACAGATTACAAAGAACCATACTGGGGAAGTCAAAAGGTAGTAATTCAGATTAATAACAGAAAGCAATCAAGATAGCTCCCAAAATGTGCACACAGGCACCTCAGTCTCAAGCCTTATGGTGGTCCCAAGTTCTCAGTCCTGCCAATATTGGCTTCCCTCCCCAAATTGTCCAACAAGTTCTCGGTCCTGACAATATTGGCCCTCTACACTAAGGTCTCATCTCATCTCACATCAATTCTCCAGTTCAGCCATAGCAGCTGCTGCTGTCCTAAAGAGTGTTAACAGAGGTCTCTCTTCTCTGACAAGGGGAAGAATTCTCTCTCCTGGTGGGAGAAGAATTCTTCTGGTTGAGGAAGATTCCTATTCTATGCAGTGAGTGCTGTTCAATTTCTTGGCTAGACTAGCCAGTTCTCTTTTAGATTGTTGAGATTGGCTGATCCCCTTGTGAAATCATAGATATCCTTGTGGATAAACAATATGCCTTACTCAAAGCAATATGCCTCTCCACATAGTTAGTCATCTATGCTTGAAAAGCCATACTGAGAGACAAAATCTACAGGCTTTTCTAGCCAATAACATTCACATATGAAAAACTTTCTCCTTACTTTACACAATAGCTATATTTGTGAAAGTATATAATCAGAAACTTCATTCCTCATGCTTTAATCTCCCCCATTTTAGTTAACCAATTTCTGGTTTGTCCATCTCTATCATATCAGTACAAGCAATCAGGAAATAAGAAGATGCATTGCAATGGGAAAATCTGCAGTTAGGGACCTTTCCAAATTACTGAGGAGTAGTGATGTCAGTTTGAGGATTAAGGTACGTCTGATTCAGGCCATGGTCTTTCTCTTCTTTCTTTTTTTTTTTTAAATTATTATTAAATTTTATTCATTTTAGTGAACATTTACAGAGATTTTGGGTTTTCATTCATTCATTGTTGCACTTATAATTCCTATTCTAAACCATCATCTCATCCTATAAATATCTGCTAGAGTTTTTAGGAACTTATTGACAATGATCTTTAATAATTTGTTTGACACAGGGTCCAAGTCAGAGACATACATGAGAGTGATGATCAAAGGAGGCTGTTCTCGTCAATGTGCTATCTCACCTCATGTACAGCCGTGTGGTTCTAACATCTTAGCATGGCTGGAGGGGCAGATGATGTACAGACGTGGGGTTTTAGGACTCAACCTAATAAAGCCCTTCTCTGAAACGTCACCAGCACAAGAGCAGTTTTAACCAAAAGCCTCATGATGAGGCAGAATAACTGGCTTTTAAAAGTTAGTGAGCATTTTTAATTTTTTTAAATTTTCTTTTTAAAAAATTTCTTTTTTATTTACATTTTAACAAACGTTTACAGAAAACTTGGATTTCCATTTATTCATTGTTGCACATTTTCCTCCCTACCTGCCCCAGTTAGTTTTTCTTTTTAAAAAGATTCTTTTATCGCTGCACCATTTCCTCCCTCCCCCCACCCCCAGTCCACTCTGCTGTGCACTTCTTAATTCTGGACTGATGTCATGCAAATAATACCTAATCATATATTCCTTTTAAATAGTTCTTTCCCTCATTTGTTTCAATGCAGTGTTCATTATTTATCCCTTTTTTTCTGAGTTTCCCCCCAACCCCCATGTCACTGTTTTATAACAGTGGCATTATGCAGTAACTATCTTTTTGTGATTGAGTTATTTCACTCATCATAATGTCCTCCAGGGTCACCCATTTTGTATAATATTTTATAAGTTTCTTGTTTTTCAGTGCTGCATAGTATTCCATCGTGTGAATATCCCACAGCTTCTCTATCCAGTTGTTTGTTGATGGGCACTTAGGCTGCTTCCATCTCTTTGCTATTGTGAACAATGCAGCAATAAACATGGGTGTGCATATATCTGTTTGGGTGGCAGTTCTGATTTCTTTAGGATATGTTTCCAGTAGGGAGGTGCTGGGTCAAACGGTATTTCTATTTCCAACTTTTTGAGAAAGCACCATACAGCCTTCCATAGTGATTACACCATTTTACACTCCCACCTACAGTGAATAAAGGTTGCAGTTTCTCCACAATCTCACCAACATTTGTTGTTTGCTGTTCTGTTGAACTTTGTTATTTTTACTGTGGTGAGATGATACTGCAAAGTTGTTTTGATATTGGGCATTTTTAAAAGGAAAGAGCATGGTGAAACTATGACTGTGGAGATGGTAAAATTTTATTTTTAGTATTACATCAAATATAAAGCAGCAGATCTGGGACTAACTCAATCCTGTGTTTGAAATGTACTAGTGCACTCGATGAAAATTAAGATTTGACTGAGTTTTGTACATAAAGGAGTTACAGAGAAAAGTGGGATATTTCTAATTTACTTAATTCAGCAAACTTTATCTTACCTCTTAAGTCAAAAGCAAAGTCTCTGTTTCTTCAAAAAAGACAGTTCCTAAAAGTATTTGAAAGTTAGGATCCCAGAAAGGACCTTTGTGGTTGAGAAACAGATGCACAAATAAGTGACTTTCTTCACCCCCCCAAAAAAAACCCCCAAATACAGAGGCCGCCCAGATACCTCTTAGTAGCTTAGCAAAGGGCTCAGGACAGGTGGACGGGATGGGCAGAGTGAGCTTATTGACCGCTACTCCATAAGCCACAGCGAGACCATCGATGCCGCGGTAGGGGGCTTCGCCCGTCAGCAGTTCCCACAGCACCACGCCATAACTAAAAGGAAAATTCCATAAAGTTCAGTGATCTCAATCGTCTCCTTACGACTCACATGGTGGGATAAACAATCTGCACATTCATCCACCTTCTAAGAGGGATTGTCCTCTTCCGAAAACCCATAAGAGGCCATGATCCCAAGGTGACAGATATGCCTCTCTAGCCAGTAACGCAATAAACACAAACATATGCCTTTCAGAAATCGCTTATACAGACACTTTAGGTAGGAACTAAACTTTGGGTATGAAGAGGGTCGAGCTCTTGGACATCATGCTGGGAGAGGTGGAGGGTTAGGGAAAGAGAGGGAGACCCTCCGTAAGAGAGACTGACACAGTAACAATGGGCTTGAGCATGGTGGAGGTGAGGATCGAGGAGGGCTGGATAGGGCAAGATGCACATCTGTTGTTCCCAGGGTTACTGTTAGTTGTGGTCAACTCAATGGCACCTAATAACAACAGTAGTCAAGAAGGGAAGGTTAGAAACAGTTCAAAATTCAATTACAAAGAGTCACTGCCTGTCCATGTGTTATTCTGAAGGGAAAAAAATATCAAATGAGTTGATTTCCCCTTTTTTCCACATTTAAATAAAAACTTGTGAGGACTGTGATGATACAGAAGATCCTGGCCCCAAGGAGACCTCATGCTACACACTACAGGACAGAGACAGAACCATTTTTTCCAAGTAGTTCTTTGTCATTTTTTCAAAGTAGTTCTTTGACATGGTTCCCTTTCTGGCTCCTCTTGTTGTATGTTGGAAATGGTTTCTTTTTTATTTTATTACTTTTTGTGTGTGTACACTCAAATTGGATCTGACTGGTACAGGAGGAGATTGCCCCTCCTTCTCCAGCAGAGCATCTGGTGGATTTGAACCATGCGCCTCTGAGATTGCAGTGCAGCTTCTTGCCACTAGGCCACCAGAGCTCCCCTGGAAAATGTGTTTCTAAAGTCTCTGCTGTACTGCTCAACAGTGGCCAACAGAAGAAGAGTTGAATTGCCCTGGGGAGCCTTTAAGGCCAGCTGAACTACTCTCTACAGGAGAAGCTGGAATGAGATGGGAACAAAGGGTAAATGTCACTATCAATGTTGAAGTACAGGGCTCGCTAATACTTCTTCAGTTCTTCAAAGGCAAATGCAAGTACACCCAAAAGCAAGTGCACGCAGTACACAGGAAGAAGTTTCATACAAATTCTTAAATGAAGCCAAAGGATCAAATATCTCTACACATCCATACACAAATGATTTTCAAGGAGCTGCAAACCCATGTTAGTATGCCACAGCACAGAAATGGTTTGTAGTTATTGCTTCTCCAATATATGCAGGTATGGACTCTGGTGGCACAGTCCATAAGGAGTTGTGCTATTAACCCAATGGCCACACCTCTCTATAGTTCCAATCTACCAATGGAACATTAAAGCAATGTCTTAAATTGAAAGAGATACTGAATCTCATTTCTTCTCTTGCTTATGTATTATATGTACCAAAAAGAAGGTGATTAAATACACATTAAGGAGAGGAAGGAAAGGCAAAACTTAAGGAAAGGCAAAGCAAGTAAGAATAACCCCAATAAAGGAGTTCAATTCACTAGATTCCATTTATGGATCTTATGTGATGTGATTCTTCTGTAATCTTTAGTGATACGTGGTTGCACAACCTCTCTCCCTCTCTCTCTCTCTCTCTCTCACATACACACACACACACACACAGCTATCGGGATTCTAGGCTCATGTCAGCCTCAGATACAGCTGTTAATACAAAGACTTCTCTGTCATGTGCCACTGAGCTCTCAACTGTTTTCTGAAAACATACAGAAAAGAACGCAGGAAACAGCAAGAGCCCAAAGGGTAGAAGTCAACCAGCTGACCTCTTACTCATCTTACCTTACAACCACCAAGTCCAAACCATCTCACAGCCGACCCTTCAGTGAGTTTTCAGAGGCTGTAAATCACAAAGGAAGAGACTGCCCATCTTTCTCCTATGGAGCAACTGGTGGGTTTGAGGTGCCTGATTTGGGATTGGTAGCACAAGCTGGTAGACTTCCTACAAGCTACAAAGGCATCTGATCTTGGTGCCACTCCTCTAGGGCTCACGCTCCAAGGAGAAGAGGGAAACGGTGCCATGAGCACAGGACAGGACTGGAGACTCACTCTGGGAGTACCAAGACTTACTCGCCCTGTCTCTATCCACTGAGTCCTTACAGCTGACCTCCCATCAACTTGTCTGTAAACTAACAGTATGCCATGTGCTCGGCTTTCTCAAAACAAAGCAACTGCAACAATGTGCATGTCAGAGACGATGAGGATGGCGATGCTGTGTACAGCAGGAGAGGACGGGGCTCAGACCTGCTGTACACAGGGTCCCTATGACTCTGTCAACATGATGGCATATTACAACAATGTCTCTATTATGGTCCCTTAGTGGAGATATCTTAATTTCAAGAATAAGTTAATGGAAGTCATCAATCAATCAATCAATCAACAAAAACCAGGGCAGGAGACAAAAAAATAGTCTTAGAATAAGCAAACCTTGTCTAAATGTCAAGAAATGGTCCAGCTATTCTCATTAGATTCTGCTTAAAATTACCCAAAGACGTTTGGAACAATATGTCAACAGAGAACTGCCAGATGTGCAGGGTGGATTTAGAAGAGGTCTTGGTACTAGGGATATTATAGCTAATGTAAGATGGATCTTGGCAGAAAGCAGAGAATACCAGAAGAATGTCTATCTGTGCTTCCTTGATTATGCAAAGGCTTTTGACTGTGTGGATCACAAGCTATAGCTGACTCTGAGAAGAATGGGAATCCCAGAACATTTGATTGTGCTAATGTGAAACCTACACTTGGACCAAGAGTCAGTCGTCAGAACAGAGCAGGGAGACACTAAATGGTTCAAAATCAAGAAGGGGGTCCATCAGGGATATATTCTGTCTCCATACCTTTTCAAACTGTATGCTGAACAGATCATCCGAGACACTGGGCTGTACAAGGAGGAATGTGGCATCAGGATTGGTGGAAGAGTCATCAACAACCTGCGTTATGCAGATGACACAACCCTGCTTGCTGAAACTGAGGAGGACCTGAAGTGCTTGCTGCAGAAGGTCAAGGACTGCAGCCTCCTATGTGGATTGAAGCTCAACATTAAGAAAACAAAGATTCTCACCACTGGGCCAATTGGCAGCATCAGTATGAATGTTGAAGAGATTGAGATAGTTAACACTTTTAGTTTACTTGGCTCCACAGTCAACACTCTTGGTAACAGCAGCCAGGAAATCAAGAGACGAACTGCATTGGGAAAGTCAGCTGTGAGGAACCTCTCAAAAGTACTGAAGAGCAACAACATCAGGCTGGAGACTACGGTGCACCTGATCCAGGCTATAGTCTTTGCAATTACCTGCTATGCATCAGAGAGTTGGACAGTGACTAGGAATGATAGAGAATTGATGTCTTTGAGCTGTGGTGCTGGAGAAAAGTGTTGAATATACCATGAGCTGCTAGGAGAACAAACAGGTTTGTCCTGGAGAAGGTGAAGCCAGAATGCTCCTTGGAGTCAAGGATTCTGAAGCTTCGTCTGACATACTTGGGGCATGTTGCAAGGAGGGACTGGTCCTTGGAGAGGGACATCATGTTTGGAAGAGTGGAGAGGTGGCGCAGGACAGTAAGACCTTCGATGAGATGGATCTACTATTCTGTGACTGGAGTGGTGGGAATGAGTGGCTAGGTTTGCACAGGATAGAACGGCATTTAGAGCTCTTGTACAGAGGGTCGCTGTGAGTCGCAAGAGACTTGATGGCACATAACAACAATTCTCATTAACACAAAACAAAAAACCGAAACCCCATAAAACTCAATCACCCCAAACCCAAAATGAACAACAAGCCTTTGTGGTTGAAAGTTTCAGAAAATGAGTAATAGAGGACAGATCACTTTTCCAGAGAGAACAGGGAATACACCATCAAAAAATTAGGTGTGTGGGGGTGGGGAAGTAACTAGTTCAATGGGGCTCTTGCTAATCATAATCTTTTTCTGTTCTACTAACCTGGATAGGATAGGGCAAGGTTCAAATCTAATTGTTCACAGGGTTGCTGTGAGTTTTATTATACTCAATGGCATCTAATAACAAAAAAAAAAACAAAGCTGGGTAGGGCACAGTATAAGTAACTAGTCTTTGGACAGCTAAAGCAGCATAAAGAGTAAGGACTCTGGAGTCATGGATTCATTCAGTTCTGGTGGGCGAGTCAAGGACTTACTAGCTTTGGGCGCCTCAATCTTCCCTTCCTAACTTCTTAGAGCCTTGGCTTCCTAATCCACATATTTGAGTCACAGCAAGAATGCTTTCTGGGAAACAAGGAACCTGTGTAAGGTAGACACCTGTCAGAGGAGGAAAATTCACATACTTTGCCTTGGCAGAGAGTGAGGGAAAAGTAGGACAATGCACCAGGTCAAGCACAGGAACCTGGCAAGATGTGTGGAAACGCCAAGGTGGACTTGTGAGTTCGGGGCCTCAGGATGAATGGAAATGTCCAAGTATATGGCTTCCACAGGTCAAAGCATGATAGGAATACCCTCAGATGGACTGACAGAGTGACGGTAATAACAGGCTCACAAGCATTATCTGCGATCATGAGGACGGCACAGGACAGAGCAGGTCTATAGGGTCTCTACGAGTCCCAGTTGACTTGGTGGCACCTATCAACAACATCCAAGTGTCCAGGACAGTTACCTTTCCATAGTACTTGATGGAGTGGGTTGGTTCATCTGTGAAGAGGGGGTAAGGAAGACAGAGAAGGGTAAAGAAGAGGCAGAGCAGTGGATACACAACACTGAGCACTACAGAGTGGGCAGTGATGTTCATGCAGATGATAAAGCTATTGGTGTGATAAAGCTACGGTATTGGTGGATCAGAGAGATGCTCATTGCGGCACCGGTAACTCTGCTCTGCTCCAGTACTTCAACCCTCTAGAGACGTGTGGGGATGTGGACCATGACCAGGTGCCTCTAGAGGTTGGTTAGTCCTTTTGTCAGTCCTTTTCATAGTATTTTTTTCTTCTTCTTCTCCTGACATCCTTTTGGTTCTGGTGGCCCACTGAGTAAGGAGCTTTGCTGTCAAGCTAAAGGCTCACATTTCCAATACAGCAACTGCTCACTGGCAACCTCCTCTCTTGTTATTTACAGCCTCTGAAAACCTGCCAGAGGGTCAGGTGTGAGTCAGCCCCAACTCAACTGTACAAATCAACAACTGTTTTTCAGTAATATTAACCTTTTCTCAGCCTTCAAATTACCTGCTTCCAGTGGAAGCTAAAGAACCAAGCTTTGTGAATCTGAGCATAAGTAACAAAACAGATTTCAAGACGCTGTCTCTCCATTGTCTGAGTGGCTCTGAAGACCCATGTTCTGTCTGAACTGAGCAGCAGCTGTACTGATGTATTTTGCTGACACTCTGGTTCTGCTCTGTGCTTAGTAATAGATCAGATTGTACCTGGTTCCAGCAGGCTGCAAGTGCATGCAAAATAGCCTTAAGAGATATTATTCCAAATGTAAAATCAATTTAGAGTCTTAATTTCTTTAACAGCTTTATTTCATGTAAATATTGTGGCAGTGTGTGATAGGGTCAAACATAATTTACTGGCATGACTTTAGAAAACTCCTTGGCACAGCTATTAATTCTGATTAAAATTAGTTTTCTAGAGGAAGGTGCTCCTGGCAAACAGAAGTCAGGTGACAAGAAAGACCTCAAGTCACCTGCTACAATCTTGATCCCAAACTACCTGCAGCTCTGGGACCTCCTTCTGGAACCAGGACAGCCCATTTCTGCAGACATTTTCAAAAGCTAAAAAAAGCACGTGTCACTTACCTCCAGATGTCGCTCCCTTTAGAAAACAAGGAGGACTTGATGACCTCAGGGGCCATCCAGGCGTAGGTGCCCACGGCACTCATCTTGGTGGTCCTGTGCCACTCCCTGGCTAGCCCGAAGTCTGTGATCTTCAGTGTCTTGTCACAGATGTCACTGTCATTCTCTATCTTCTCAAGCAGCAAGACTAAAAGAGAATCCAAGGTGGGATTGTCTTAATAGCCTCACAAATTTCTACTTACTTTCTTTTGTGTGTGTGTGTCTATTTTTATTGAAAGCACTTGGGTTAGCCTGGTTGGGCTGGACTGCACTTTACCATTTCACCTTAAGTTCATTTAGAAGCAGCCTTTCATTTTCTCATGGCTTGTAGATTTTCTATGACTCAAATTACAATTTAAAAAAAATATAATTCACACATAAAATTCAGGTTAGCACAAGAGTGTCTCTCTTTACCATCCCCCATTTCTGACGTCTTAAAGCTTACCTACTGGGAGACAATTAGATAGTTTTCTTCTAATAAATCTGTTCAAACAAGTGTATTTTCTACAGACTGTGTTAGAAAATACTGTCAATACACTATCTAGTACTGCAATGCAGTGAAATATTAAACTGAAAAGAAGGTAACACCGAGGATCTAATGGCTTCCTTGAACTTCCAAACAGAAAAAACACTGGTGATACATCATCCAGTCACTGGTTTCCTGACTCGCCACCTTGCTGACCAAGTACAGAAAGTACTGAAACAACTTTTAGGAGTGGAGCCCATGCCAGTTCGTCCTTGAATTATCCCTCATGCGGCCTTCAAGTAAGAGGGATGTACTTACCGTCCCCACCAACAGCAGCTCCTCTGCTCCCGCCACCCCTCAGGTTTTCTCCACCCTCCTCAGTAAGCACAGTATCTCCTCCCTCCTCCAGCTGACTTCCTTCTGCTGTCACCACTGGGAGCTGTCCTCCAGGCTTTCCTCCACACCCCTCCTCCCACTGGCTACAATAACTTTGAAGTGAGTGCTTTAGATGTAATCCTTTTTGGAACTTATCTCCCCACTATTTCTTTAAAACTCTGCAGTCCAACACACTGAACAAGCTAGCTCCATTATTCCATGGAAAGCCCAGCTGACTGGCCACTGTCAATGTGATTCTGAGTCATGGTGGGCCTACTTACGTCCTACCCTTGTAGGAACTTGGAGGGGGGGGGCCCTTCTGAAGTAGACAGCCAGGCCAAGACACTTGGCAGACTTGAGACTTCAACCTTCTGGTTAACAGCCCACGGCTCACCCATCTTCACACATAACATGATGTGACTCACCCCTTCTGCATGCTCTCATCCCTAGCAGCCCTCATCAACTCTCACCTGGGTGACCGTCATCCTAACAGGTCTCATGCGGCCACTCTCCCTTTGCAACCTCTCTTCTATATCACCTCTAGTAGGCTTCCTGAACTGTCATATAGTTCTTTGACAACAACAGTTGGTGAACATGATTGTGCAATCCCTCAACATGGATGAGCCTCAGAAACATTCATAAGGTTCAACACTTGAGACATGCCAGGTCACATCCTAGATCTCATATGCCACATGGAAAAGGATCGGTCAGATCACTGTGGGCAGGACGGAGGCAGCAGGGAACTCTGGAGAGTGATGGGAATTTTAGACTTTGACTTGGTGATATCACATTTGTCAAAACACTAAGTTAGAGGATGAATTTGTATGTAAGTGATACTTCTATAAAATGAAAACAAAAACCTCAAACTCATTGCTATCAAGTCAGACTGACTCATAGCTGACCCTCCATTGGGTTTTCTGAGACTATAAATCACACAGGAGGAGACTGCCATTTTTCTCTGCAGTAGCTGCTGGTGGATTTGAACCACTATAGAGATGCCACTTTTGGGTTATTAACGCAATTCCCTACCCTCTAGGTCACAGAGCTCCCTGAGTGGGCAGAGTGTTGCATGGCCAACCCAAAGGCAGCCGCTTCAAATATACTCACTGCTCTGGGAAAGAAAGATGGGCAATCTCCTCTGTAGTATTTATTGCCTCTGAAAACTGGCCATGAAGACTGGAGGGTTAGCCACGAGATGGTTCCAAATTGACAGCAATGATGTTTCTATAAACTTGTATCTAAAAACAGAACAAAACAAAAATCCCTCTCAATTTCCCATGGACTCAAGGATAACGTCCACTTTATGACACCTGGACAATCATGAGCTTTCTATGTTCTAGATGACGCTTCATTCCTCGAGAGGTGAGCTTCCTCTGCCCAAAGTAGGCTGGTTCATTATCGTAGCTCAAATGGTACCTTCTCCGTGAAATCTTTCCCTGAAGGCAGACGGTTCGAATCCACCAGCTTCTCCAAGGGAGAAGATTGGGCAGTCTCTTCCTGTGCAATTTACAGCCTCTGAAAAGCCCCTGAGGGGTTAGTTATTAGTTGGTTCTGATTCAATGGCACACAACAAGCAAAGGAAACTATTCCTTCCTTTAAAGTCATAGAGACCTCTTCCACCACAGAATTTAAAAGGACAACACACTGTGATTATTCACGCCAGACTCCCGCATGAGACCACCAATGTGTGAGACTGTGAAGGAATGAGGGTGTGTGGATGGGGGAGTATGTGAGTGAGCATGTCTCTAAATCTGGGTTGGAAGGAGAAGGGGAAGGTGAGAAAATCACACGTTCAGTTCATCTTCATCTTAATGCACCTATTCTGTGTCAGTCCAATTCAGACTAGGTAGTAAATGTTTATTTAAAAATATTCTGAGCAGATCACGTACATTCTGAAACCTATACCTTACTCAGGCACTCAGTTCCTGGTACCACCTGAGATGTGCAAACGCCACAGACCCACGCACACACAGACACCCTTACTTGTTGCGATTCTCCTGTTTCTCTCATTTTCTCCTTTGACTGAAATTGTGAGGGAGCTCTGATGGCCTAGTAGTAGAAGCTGTGTTGCAATCTCAAAGGCATATGGTTCAAGTTCACCAGCTGCTCTATGGGAGGAGGATGGGCAATTTCCTCCCACGTGATTTAGAGCCTCTGAAAATCCACTGAAGGGTCAGCTATGAATCAGTTCTCAATAGCACACAACCACCAGCACTTGATAAATAAAGAAACTGCAGGACAGTTATGTTAAGTTGTCCAAGGTCACACAATATAGAAGCTGTGGAAGCTTAAGCAGTCCATTTCCACAGCAATGGTCAAAACCAGTATTTGCATTGCTTGTCGCCACTGTGCGTCATCGAGTCAAAACTGACTGATAACAGACTCTCCAGCAGGTTTTCAGCAGTTTTAAATCACATGGGAGGAGAATGCTCATTTTTCTCCCACTTACATTGCTTCTTCTTGTTGTTGTTCATTCCTGTCAAGCCAAGCACGACTCACAGTGACCCTATCATTGCTTCTCCAAGTTCATAGTTTCCAGAGGCATGTGGTTTATGAAGTGGATGCCACTCCTGCTTCCAAAACCATCTTAAAACTGAGAGTGCCACCAAACACTGTCCACCATCGGCAGCCATTAAGGCATTTGACACCCCCCTCCCATGGCACAAAAGTTCAGCATCACAGCAAACCCAGATTCCCTCAGTGCAACACGTTGACAGAGGAGTGCTGTACAGCTTAGAAGAATGTTCCTCCAAAATAAAACAACACTAGACCCTCGGGCCCAACCTACTTTTAAATACAAGGGCTATCTACCTTTCTATCTATCTATCTATCTCTATAGATATAGAGATTTATAACTCTATCTAGATCTATAGATATAGAGATATATAACTATTGTCGTTTCTCCAACTTCATAGAGTTTCCAGAGGCATGTGGTTTAGGAAGTGGATGCCACTCCTGCTTCACACTGTTTAATAGCTTTAACTGATTTTTCCACAAGAAATTCTGTAATCCCTCTGACATCTCTTTGAGGTGCCCACTCTTGGCCTCTGGATGTCCTGTTACTGGTCCATTCTTCACTGACTTAGGGGCAGTGCAGCGTAGTGATGAAGAAAGGACACATGCTACAGGATGGGGTTCCTTGGTGTGGACTAACCTCTCTGTGCTTGGGAGCCTTAGTCTAATATGGGAACCTTATTAGCGCCTGTGCAATAGGTGGCAGTAAGGAGTCAATGTGTATAACTAGGGTGAAGGACTGCAAAGACGATGTAACTTTATCTAACATACCTTAGCCATGATGGGTTGGACAATGGAAGATATTTTCTGAAGGGACTCAGTAGATGAGAAGGGTTATCCTGGTGGAGGGTGGAGCTGGGAAGTAAGTGGGTAATGGCACTGGGCTAATGGTGGGGTCAACACTTTAACGCTTACCCCCACAATAAGGGATTT